TGTTTAGAAAATAATGATGGTAACATATGTACAAATATGCTTGATACAATTGATGTATAGTTTGTTATAAGAACTGTATGTGCCCCCAATAAAATGATCTTAAAAAGAATTGATGAAACATCAACATTTCATCAAACAGATGACAAAGGCTCCAGATTACTATCAGAATAAGGTCAGGGCCAAATAAAGCCAGATAGTTACCTGGACAACTGACTAGAAGAGATTCATATTTGCGCCAATTCCAAAGAATGGTAATCTTACAGAGTGTAGAAATTATTGAATGCCATCAGTAATGCCACACTCATATAAAATTATGCTGAAGATAATTCACAAACAGTTCTAGCAGTACATCGACAGCAGTACATTTCAGGATCTGCCAGAAATTCAAACTGGACTCAGAAGATGTGGAACAAAGATATCACTGCTAATATCATTTAGATGTTGACTGAAATAAGAGAAAGACGTTAATCTGTATTGTGTGGATCATAAATTATGGATACCATTGTGAAGAATGGAAACTACAGACTATTGAATTGTGTTCATTCAGGATCTGTACATAGACCCAAAGGCAGTGGTTTGAATGGAATAAGGTGAGGGTGCATGGCTGAAACTCAAGAAAAGTGTGTCAGAGTTGTATCCTTTTACCAAGATTATTCATTCTGTGTGCTGAGCAAGTAATTTGAGAAGCTAAGAACATGGCATCCATGATTAGAGGAAGACTCATTAACAACCTGTGATATGCAGAAGGCACAAGCTTGCTTGTTGAAATTGGAGAGAACTTGAAGCACTTGCTGATGACGATCAAAGACGACCACCTTCAATATGGATTATACACTTCTACATAAAGAAATCCCCCCAATTTTTATATGTGAGCCAATAAACACCATCATGATGAACAAAAGGTTTTTATTTTACTTGGATCCACAATCAAAGCTCATGGAAACTGGAGTCAAGAAACCAGATGATGTATTGGGCAAATATTCTGCACATGACCTCTTCAAAGTGTTAAAGAGCAAAGATGTCAATTAGAGGACTAAGGATGCCCGACCCAAGTCATGCTATTTTTTAATTGCCACGATACATGTGAAAGTCTGACAATGAATAAGGAAGATCTGAGAATTGCATTTGAATGATGGTGCTGACAAAGGATATGAAAAGTACCATGAACTGCCAGAAGAATGTACAAATCTGCCTTGGAAGAAGTATAGTCAAATTGCTCCTTAGAAGCAAGGATAGTAAGGTTTCATTTTACTACTTTGGACATGTATTAGTTGGGACCAATCCCCGAAAAACGACATGATGTTTAGTAGAGTATTAATGAAAAAGTCACTCAAGATAGTTGGACCCAAGGCTACAACAATGGCCTTAAACCTAACAATTCTGAGAATGGCACAGGACTGAGTGGTTTCATTCCATTGTGCATAGGGCCACTAATGATAGAGAACAGACAGAACTAATAACTGATAGATCTAATGAGGGTACCTACCCTGTTTCCCTGAAAATAAGGCAGTGTCATATTAATTTTTGCTCCCAAAGATGCGCTAGGTCTTATTTTCAGGGGATATCTTATTTCTACACGAAGAAGAATATAGTACACATTTATTGTTCATTGTTTTATTAAGAGACCTCATACTTCCTGTCTACTCCAGCTGCACTGCGGTCAACACCACAGAGAGCTGTGTGGCGGGGTCCAGAGTCCAGAGTTAAGGTAGCTTCGGAGGCCTTATTTTGGGGGAGGTCTTATTTTCGGGGGATGCCTTATATTTCAGCGAGAGGCAAAACTGTGAATAGGTCTTATTTTCGGGGGATGTCTTACTTTCCTGGAACAGGGTATGTCACTAGTATTTCAAACGCAGTTGGCTCATCTAAAGTGAGCAGGCTTCAGGCTCGCTTCCAGACTAAGAAGACAACGAAGGAATCGGCCCCCTTTGGAGGACAGGGTTGCTGCAAACCTTAGGCATAGCACTCAAACTGCGCCAGAGATACCCAAGGCCTAGTGAACAGAAGCAGAACAAGTCAACGGGGTTACACGTCAAGAAGCACTACTTGCTCCGCAAAACACTTGTCGGGTTGAAAGCAACAAATGGCTGACACATTCAGAATGTGCGAGTGATAGCTGCCTCTGCCCTCTCCAGTGGTATGGGTGTCACATGGACAGGGCTTCGGCTGGCGTCTCAGGAGATGGGCTTCGGGGCACCCTTGCTACCAAGCGCGC